TTTTTTTTTTTTTTTTGTTTTTTTTTGTAGAATCACGTGATACATTCAAAATAAATGAATATACAAAATTTTTATCTCTTGAAAATAAATAATTTCATTTTAACATGTAATTTAAGTTTTTTAGGAACCGATAGTTGCAGATTAAGAAGCAAGTTATTAAACAATTTAAAAAATAGATACTTTATATGATCATGTAAACAAATCTTACCATTTTCAATACCACGTGATACGTGTAGTTTTGTTTTTTAAATAGACTAATAATTAAGAAATGATGTATAATATGTTTATCTCTTATAAGAAATTAGACAATATATTTTTTTTAAAAAAATCAGATAATGCAACCATTTAACCACATATACATATCCAATTTTATTTAAAATCAAACTAGATTTTTTTTTGTCAATAATTCATATCAGATTTTTTGGCAACTTGCGTGAGATTTGGTAGTAAATATGAAATATACATAGGCTTAGATTTTCGGCAAAAAAGTAACAGAATTTGACAAATCTTACCACTTGCAAACCTTTTTTTTTTCCTTTTTTTTGAAATTTAGGTTCGGATATTTGGTTTTGATCTATTGCCTTTTTTTATTTTTATTTTTCTGTATTTGTTTTTTAAATTCATAACAATTGAAAGAAACTTAAGTATGTACACGTGATTTCTGTTTTCGGAAACAAAATCCCAATTTAAGTTTTTTGTAAAACCATGTAATACATTAAAAAATATATATAATAATAACATACAACATATTAATCTCTTTGAAACAAATATGATCAAATTTCAGTTTTTTCGGAACCCAAAATTACAGATTAGGAAATAAATCCGATAGAATCATTTAAAAATACTTAGTATGATCAATTAAACCAATCTTATCATTTTGAATTCGGCATGATACATATAATTAGTTTTTTTTTTTTTTCGAAACAAAATATTAATTTTTTGTTCTTTTTAAATGCATGATACATTCCAATGTTGTATATAAAGAAGTGTACAATATTATATTATATTTTATTTTCATAATATATTTGGAGAGTCTACAGTCCCGTTACAGAACCATTTCGTCGGGATTGGTAACCGTTAGATCAATTATCCAGGATGGTTACATGATGATCTAACGGTTACAAATGGTTCCGTAACGGGATTGTAGCATTTCCCATATTTTTGTTGGTAAGATGATTATTTTATTTGACAAGTTAGATACAAAATTACCTTTTAAAAATAAAGTAGATAAAAAACGGTATGACTGAAATTATTATATATGTGAGGACCATATAACAAATTTGAAAGATTATGTATAATAAATCTATAAAAATAAAAGGGTATTAAAAAATAGAAAATCGATAGATATTATTAATAAAAACAATCTAACAACAATTATCACGTTTATGAAATTAAAAATAATTAAGAATGGATAATAACTGATATAAAAACACGTATATTAGTTTTCATAATATTACGCACATAAAATTCATAAAATAGACTCGGATCTGCTCCCCTACCCACGGTGGGCCGGGAATTAATATGTCCACTGCTTATGTGGCATGTACACATTGGGCATAACAGTGGGAGAGAATTAATATGCCCAATGTGTACAGGCCATATAAGCAGTGGGCATATTAATTCCCGGCCCACCGTGGGTAGGAGGCAGATCCCAGACCAACACATTATATAGTATATTTAAATTATGTAAAGCAGCCCCAGTAAATAAAATATCGGGTCAATTAAATAAAGACATATTTTGCCAAAAGAAAAAAAAACGGCCTAATAAAAAACAACCCATATCATATTTAAAAAATGTCTAATTAAGCCCGTTAATAACTTTTTTTCTGAAAGGGACCAATTTAGGCCCAAAACCCAATTTAAGCTCATTGTATCGATGGCCTACAAAAAAATCACCCAATCCCGATTTTGTCACCAAATCAGAGGTTGTGTACAAAAAAATATTTATTAATTTATGAAGTTTTAAATTTGTTTTTTTTTTTTCATTTTACATTTGTTACATATTTACAAGGTGCATTATTAATGTTAATATTAAAAAAATTTTAGAAAAATATATCATTCCGTGCATCGCACGGGTCAGTACTAGTTGGAAGGTACAGAGCATGAACTTGACATGGTTAGATATCTCTTGAAGAATGCTAAAGTCCTCGAGCTGATGGAACTACACTGCTTAGCAGAATCAATCGGGAGAATTTCATCATTTGATCGAGGGTCTGAGAAGTGTGAGATTGTCTTCCACAAATATCTGGATTCTGGAATCAGACGATGAAGACTTAGGTTTTTGACATGATCTAAGTAACGCTAACACTCCACGGCCGACGGTCCTTTCATAAATATTTCCTTTTGTCTTCGTAAATAACTCAATTATTTATGTCTTCGACTTTTTTTTTCTTGGCTGCAACTGTGTTTGCCAGTGGAGAATTGTCATTTTTCATTAGGAAATATTTTTTTCCCCATTTCTTTGTGGGAAATGTCTATCTCGACATGTTCATTGTTCGAGCCAAGAAAATCTATAGCCATGACCTCATTGATGTCACTGTTATAAAAGTGCCTTGAAACGGAAAAGCTAATTCGAAATTAGTGTCCATGCTGGGTTTCGTCTCATACCATATCCCATAAAAAATTGCATCAATCTATTTTGCAAGTTTTGTTCCTCCATCGTTTTTCCATTTTCACATTTGCAAACAAATTGTGGTACCGGACAGCTATACTCATCCCCAATCTTCTTCAATTTATTAAAATACACCATTATTGAGTCACTTCCTTGTTTTAAGTTCGAGATCTCTCTTTGCAGCTGATAAATCAGAGGACAGTATTTTTGTCAAAATCTTTGACAGATTTCTTCCCACAGCTTTCTTGCAGATTCAGCGTATATAAATGCATCAACAAAATAATGAGTTCAGGATCCACGAAATTACCATCCAATCTACCTCCCTCCATTTTTTATATTCTGGATCTCCAACACGTTGCGGCTCAACCGATCCATCAATAAATCCAAGCTTCGTCGTCGCACCAAAAGTTATCATCATTGATCTCTTCCAAGCCAAAAAATTCAATCCACTCACTGGATGTGAGACGAGCTGCAACCTAGGATGATTGAAACAATGGATTATGTTCAGGGTTATCAGTTGTTGTACCTCCTTTTGTACTGAGTGCCGACTAGGCTTCATTGTACCACCCTCTATGCATCGCCATTGTAGATCTAAAACTCAAGGAATTTTACTGGCTTTAGATACCATGTAGAAACTCAGGCTACAATATATAAAATCTGATTTTTCATTCATTCAACCAAAATCTGATATCCCCTCATACTTTTAATAGGGCCGCGCAATACAAATTTGAAATACGAAGACAGAACGACGCCGTTTAACTAAGTACAATACGACACTGTTTGAACTACTAAAGTGGTTTCCTAAACAGAACAAAAGAGAGAAAATGTAAGCGCGACTTTGTGTAATCCTGCTGCCAGTGCATTTTTCCTTTCTTATCCTTTTTTCAGTTGCAAGTTCCTCTTCAATTTTGTTGCTTGCTTTTTTCTCACAGGTTCCTCACTTTTAATTCTCTGTTTTGACTGAAAACCTTCTGTTAAATGTTACATTGAATGCTGACAGCCGTTTTATCTCATTTCTTCTTCATAATGCTGATAAGCTTGAAGTCCTTACCATCAGAACGGTTCGTTTCTCCAGCTTTCTCCTTTTATCTTTACTCGATGATTTGCCTTCTCTATGGCTTTCGATTTTTCTGTTATCCTCAGATTTTGTGTTGGTGTCAAATATTGGGTGGAGCCCGAACAAATGACCACATGCCTGGTGTCACATCTTCGGACAGTTAAAATCGATATGTTTGGACGTGCAGACTGCAGAGCAAGAGTTTGATATGGTAAGATATACTTGGAGGAATGCTAAAGTCTTACAGCGAATGATGATCGTTATATGTTCCTATGGACGTGTATTTGATTCGAAGAAAATATTTAAAGCGATCAAGATAATTTCATTATTCGAGAGAGGATCTGAGGCATGTCAGCCCACCTTCGATTAAGATTGTTTGGGAGTTGTATTGTCCTGTTTTTCACGATGATATTAAGTTAACTGATTATTATATCTATATTCAGTACAGCAGTTATGTGTTCCTTCAAAACTGTTTTATAGCTATCCAGCTTTAAGGTGCCTTGCTTTATACTAATATATAGTCTTTTGTAAAGCATTACAAGCTTGCTTCATAGTTTTTCCTGTTCACTATTTTTTGACTCTTGTATTAGTAATTTAGTCCAGCATCAAGCGTGTGGTGATCTAAGGATAAGAAACTCAATGTAGGGTGAAATCTACCCAATATGTTTATTGAATTGTGTCTGAAGTACTTGGTCAATCCCTCTATTTGATTTCATTCATCTTCCTTTGGAAAGTCAACAATTTTTTTCTTATTATTCTGAGCCATTTTTTATTTTTATTTTTTCAAAAGAGAATGTGACAGATAACCATCTTCCCTTAGAAACTGAAGTAAATTCACCATTAAATTCTTATTGTGAAGTTTCACCTATAAACTTCGATGGGGACTTCACTCATGTACTCATAAGAAGACTTGTTATTTTGTTGGTAGGTTTATTACATTCATACAATTTCTAATAATAAAAGTAAGTTTAAATGATAGTCTTTTAGACTATTAGATATCAGGACATTGATGGGTTCATTATTATTTATTTTTTTCAATTTTTATAAAAATCCATATTCCTAATAGTCAACTCTTCGTCTAAGCACATTTTGACTAAATAATTAATTAATGAATTGGTGTGTTTTCGAGTCGGATCCTTTGTCTTAATCTTAAGATGTTATCGGGTCGATGAACTAAGCTGGATTAGGTTAACAGTTGATTACGTGCCTTCAGCTAATGCAATATTTCAAACCTAATTTAACCATAAACAATCTAATGCCAAGTATATATGGAAGTGTATCAACTTTGAAATAACACCCATTGTCCAAATTTTATTAATAAATAGATGGACAATAAAAATGAAATAAAAAATCAAACATAACACTGGTTTTACCTGCTCCCCATGTACAATAAAAATAAAAATAACGTCCTTTAAATTAATTAAAGTGGTATGTTTTGACGTAAAATTTAAAGAATTTCTCCATATTTCGTATGACATTCATTTTAAAATTCAAATTATTTTGACAATTTCCATATTCAATAAGCAATTTTTTTATATGCTGTAAATCATTAATATTTCTAGTAAATACAAAAATAGGACAAATTCCGGGCCCAAATTCTAAGACCTGGCAACCCGACGGGCTGGTCGGCTCGTGAACCAGCCCGACAGTTGGACATGTCTATACACACATGAAAAGTCTATTTTTGAATCACCATCTCTCATTCTAAAATATGTGCTTAAAAAACTCAATTATCACCGCCATAATAATACTTATCGCGTGAGCATTAACATGATGAATTAAGTACAATTTCAAAGGCGAGTGCGTGCACCGATCCCAATAGTAAAATTATAGCAGCAAAAACGCCCCCACACCATATATCAGTATCACGCGCGGGCAAAATCATAGTCAGACTCATACATAACCCACGCCCCCACGTCAAAAACCCAAATTTCAATTTTTTTCAAATTTCCTTGAAAAGCAAAAGTAGTGCTCATGTTATGCTGCCTCATAACTTCTTATTTTTGGCCAGTTGCCTTTCATTTTTATATTTTATTTTGGTCTCTTGTAACCAAAGCCACGGCCATCGATATTTCGAAAAAAAATCCGACGAATCCAAACAGGGCAATTATATCTGTGTAACTTCACATCCACACTCAGTCTCGTTGTTTTATTCTTTCCTTCACATATTTCATTTTCTATCATCAGCTTCAGTGAAAGCTCATCAACTGCTATTTCCAGATTTTGTTTCTTCACCAAGGAAGAAGAAAAGAGAAGAAAGGTAAACAATGGAATTATCATCACTTCACAACATCTTTTTTTTGAAAAATAAAATAACAAATCTGCAACTGTAGCTTTACTTTTTCATTCCTTTTTTTTTCAAATGTTGTTGCCGCTTTTTTAGCATCTTTTACTTATTCTGCTGTTTTTGGTGCTCTTGATCTCATGCTCTTGCTTAAGCTGATTGGTGGTGGACTGGTGGTGTTGCGTC